ATCAGAGCCCCAGCATCCCGGCAGCCGCGGAGGAGATCCCGGAAACGAAGGCGGCTGAAGCGGAGGCCCGGGCACCACTTCCGGATCCCGGCCCGGAGGCCGGAACCCCGGGGGTACCAGATCGGACCCCAAGACGGTCAGCAAGAGTACGGCGGCCCCTAGTGTACCTAAAAGACTATGTAACATAGGGGAGGATCCGGACTATGGGGGGAGGGATGTTGTGTCCGCTGACCGCCACCAGAGGCCAGCGCACACTCCTGAGCTTGAGTCCGAGACAACAATGGGGACTAGAATCCTAGTCCCTCCACAGGGGAACCAATGGGACCGTGGCGGGAGATTTAAACCCGCCAATGGGACCCAGGGGTGTGTCCCCTGGTTGTGTATATAGTTGGCCTGCCGGCCAGTGTCTGTATCTTTTGTTGTGTACCAGTAAAGTTGTGCTGATCACGTCATGCGTCTAACCCACTACATTTCAACATTGTTATACTTTTTGTGTTGGAGCTTTGGAGTATTGAATGAATGAAGCCATTTTGTTTGCTGTGGGATGGATGATGAATTGTCCATGTTCTCTAAACAGTTCTCTATTAACATTCCTTTCACGGATGGGTACAATTTAAACAGTAGTCTTCTTGCTCTTCCAGCATTTCCATACTGAAAGTAACACGCTTGGGCTTGAATCCTATGAACACGGTCTGTATACACTCGACAGCTTCTGCTGTGGAGCTCACTTCCTCTTGACTAGCATTTCCATCTGAACAAGATCAGTGGTTTTCAGTGTGTCCTTGTGCAAACAGAAGTACTAGTACAAGAAGAGAAAGTGAGCTCTGCAGCTGAGGCTGTCTAGCGCACATGGAACTTGTTCATAGGATCTAAACCTTAAATCTTCACAGTTTAATTTTTTTTAAAGAATTGGTGCTTCTCTTGTGCTTGACAAATGTGGAGGAATTCTTTGAGAATAATCCTGTGCCATTAAATCAATGCTGTTTTTTTCTGAACAGCTTATGAAAATAGGTTCCGATGTAGAAGTTATACTCCAAACATCTGTAATTCAGGGTGTTCATACAGGCCCGAACAAACTATGTAAGTATAGAAGGTAGCAAGGTAATACCATATGCTTAATTCACAACATGATTATTTTTATGTATTCATGTTTAAGCAAATATGCATATATCAGACAAAACGTTTAATGGACTCCAGCTGCATTTTCAGTTAGTCATTTGCAGACTTTGAAGCAGACAGTTGTATTTTGAGCTAATGCAACAGATAAGATAGGCTGAGTCTCTTGTCCCTTGAACTCCAATTGTACTTGCAGGTCATGTTTTGCAGAAGCAATCGCCACAAGAAATCCTTTTCTCGGCCTTGTCCCAGTGGGCACAAGTTGATTCTGCTTCAAGGAACAAATGGTCCAGATCTGCCAGGAATGGTGGCTGTACAGTGACATTTATTTAAAATGAAATGCCTGCACTGGTGCTGAAGGCACGCAACATAGTCCAAAGCATATTTTCTCAGAAAGAACTGCCGCAGATTTAAGCTGATATATTCTTCGGTATTTTTGTCTAGGATTACTGGTTTAGGGAAGTAATTTTTTTTTCTTAGCTGAAGGATCTTTTTTGTTACCATTTTACAGATCCCGTCACACAACAGTGTCATTTCACTGCATGAAAGCAGAATGTCAAACAGAGTGAATGGCAGGATTTAAAAATTAGCTGAAGAAGAAGAAGAGATTGGATTTATACCCCACCCTTCACTTGGAGTCTCAGAGCGGCTTACAAACTCCTTTCCCTTCCCCTCCCCACAACAGACACCCTGTGAGGTGGGTGGGGCTGAGAGAACTCTGACACAAACTGCTCGTTTTCAAGGACAGCTGTGCCAGAGCTTGTGACTGACCCAAGGTCACATCAGCAGGTGCAAGTGGAGGAGTGGAGAATCAAACCCAGTTCTCCCAGATTAGAGTCCGCGCACTTAACCATTACACCAAACTGGCACAAGGCACAAGCTTTTTAAAAATAATGGTGTGAAGAGTTTGTATTAGACAATTAAACTGTTGGTTGTGGGGTTTTGTAGAAACAGTGTAATTAAGAAATTATTATGTGGCCTGTCAAGTCAAATTATCGGTTAAAGTACAAAGAAACTGGCTTGAATCGATTTGATTCACAGAACAGACCAATATAAATAAAGCTTTCTTCTGCAGCATCCAACATTCATGGAATATCTGGATGTGTTTACTTTTCAGTCTGCCATGGTGGGAAAATGGCATGAGTTGAAAACCTTGTTTTTTGAGAAAGAAGTTGTAGTGCAGTGCTCTTACCATCTTTTCAGATGCATTTTTTTCACTTTCTTCCCTTAATCCTTTCACTTTTGTTTCTCTTATGATACACATGAATTATACTTATTTATTATTGGAAGCAATCTTGGGATATAAAGATAAAGGTTTTAACACCAAAAAGTCCTTGAAATGCTATTATGGGTAGGGGTGTGTGTACGTATGTGACAATCTCTTTCCAAGCAGTTAAGTCAAGCATATGACACGACTGGGATGACTATGGAAGAATCAAGTGCAAATGTTTTTCAGGTCATTTAACATATTAATAGCCTGTTTTAAATGACCCAGACAGTCATCCCAAGGGATCAGAAAGCTTTTTGTCATTTTCCGAGTGAAATAGTCTAGGTGTCATTAGGAGCATGTTTATAGCAGTCTGCTAGCATCTGTGCTGGCTTTCTGTCGTCCCATGGGCACAGTTCAAGGCACTGTTTTAACCAGTGAAGCCCTGAATGGCAAAGAAACCATATACCTTAGAAACCTCTCTCTCATTACTCCATCTGTGTACCATGTCATCGTGGAATGGGCATGTAGATAAACTATATTAAGAGCACACCCTTCACTGGAGTCTTATAAGAGTAAGCTGCACAATGGCCCTTTCTGCACACACTCTTTACCCCTGACTTTACCGGATCTTGAGTTGGTTCACCTTTACTTCAAATGATGTGTTTGCATTCTGCACTTTTTTTTTTGGCTCCGGCTCTTTTCCCAGGATGCCAAGGCTCAGCGGATTATGTACTCCGCATTCCTGAAGTCCTTTACAGTAGCCATGCCCCTAGAGTTACTGCCAAGTTTCAAAGATTGTGCCATTTGATTGGTCAGGTGGAGCAAATGCCTTCCCCGACTCTCACTTGCCAAAAGGTGCTGAAATGTTTCATGAGCCTTATTGAAATCTCGTGAGAGTTTCTCTCACAAGGACTTTATCAAACCACAGTCTGCCTCAGTGTTAAATGCTGTCTAGAGTCAAACCACAAAAGACTCCTGCAGGGAAACCAGTATTCTCAAAAGTAACTTCCATGACAGCCCTCCACTGATTGATGCAAATATAGGCATGGTGCTTAGGGCTCATCTTGTCTTTCATTCAAACCCCCTCCTTCCCAGCCGGTGGGTGGATCTACCCAACCAGCCTCTCCCTCCAGAAGCAGATGCAGTCCAGAAGGCTGCAGTATTTCCTCCAAAAAGCATTCTGTGAGCTCCAGCCCTGCGCTGCAAGCAAGGTCCCTCTTCCCTTCCTTCATCTAACTGTTCTTGTCTCTTCCTCTTCCACAAAATCTATATATAATGCAGATAAGTGAAACTCTAGAATTAAGCACAAAGATATAAAGTGAAGGTACTTGCTCAGTAGTTTTAAAGATGAAAAATGAGAATGAAAAATGGTGCCACCTTACAATAGTAGTTGGCTGCTGACATTTTGCTAGTTATCTTTATTAGATTCCAGAGACATAAAGAGTAGTGACTTCTTTCCAATGATCAGAAAATGTTTTAAAACCAGTGGCACAGTGGTAGCTGGTTTAGGTAATTGATTTTAGGCAAAATAATATTTGGTTTCCCTTTATTGTTAAAGTTAATAGAAAAATAATCTTTCTTTTTAAAAGAATCATGTAAAATCTAACTTGTGCTCTTCTTTTCTTCCAGTGCTGATACCAAGAAAAGAGCTACTACTAGACAACATTCCTTTCTGCGATGCACCAACACAAAAGTCATGAATTTGGGGGAATAAAGTTAATTGTTACTGTCATGTGGTTGGTTTTATTGCAAACAAAAATCTGGATAGCTCAGGCTAGCCTGATCTCATCAGATCTTGGTGTCAGAGTTCCGCAGCAATCAGTTCCCAACAACGCCCATTCAGAAGATTGACCTTTATTGAGTACAGTAAAGGCAGGTCATCTGTGCATACATTCTGTGTTAGAAGTGATTGCAAGCCCACGCAATGGGGAGTTATACATCATTCAAAGGGGTCCCCCTGATGGACCGGGGCCAATCAGGGAACAAGCAAAAGCCTGCCTAACTTGTCTACATTCCCAGGTACCAAGGTTCCCAGGCAACAAGGTACCAAGGTCACCGGCCTAAGCTAGAAGATAAGACGAGTTGGGAAGAATCCGTTACAGCAACATACCATCCATCACCTCCCCCTCCTCCGCCAGCTGTGGCGGCAGCCTAGCTGACACTTGGTCCTGGCTAGTATTTGGATGGGAGACCTCCATGGAATACCAGGGTCATGACGTGGATCCAGGCAATGGCAAACACCTCTGAACGTCTCTTGTCTTGAAAACCCTAGGGGTTGACATAAGTTGGCTGTGACTTGATGGCACTTTCTGCCACCAAAGAAAGATCTATTTCCTGTAATATCACTTGAAACAAAATCATTTAAAACATTATTTTTTGTATTTGTGAGTGGGCTAAATGCAGAAAATATTGAATATTGATGGAGGACTCGAGAAAGCAATTCTGTTTATTGTTTGTGAGAATGTTTTTTGAACTAATCAAAACATTTATGAAGCCCGTTCCATAACTTTAAATGCTTCATATGAAAAAGATTGCTTTTCCATATGCACTGCAGATCTGCAGTGCTGATCCTCCCCCCATATAGCAATCTATTGAGAATATTTAATTCAGAATGTAAAGCTTGTATTTGGGGGTTTAAAATGTTGTAACTGAGCAGAAGATATTGGGGAAAACGGTACCAAATCAAACAAATGATCAATCTTCCCAGTTTTTCTTACTGTCATTAGACATTAAAAGGTTTGAGATTGATTAATATGCGGTTTATAAATATTGTTTTAAACATTTATGCTTGAGGAAAGGAGTATTGTTTTTTGTCAAAAGTAAGCAAGATGGCTCCTTTTCCATTTCTCCCCATCATCTTTGAAGCTAAATTTAAGGAAAGAACAATATATTAGATGCAGTTCCATAATTCTTCTTCAAGACTGTTCTTTTTTTGTAGAATGCAGCTGTTGAAGATATTATCTGAAACAGAAGACTGGTGTGGAGCAGATGGGGATGAAGAGACTCATTAACCCTATCTCCCCCCCCCTTTTGGCAGAAACTACCCCCCAGCCTCACCCACAAGCTATTTTAATGAGGAAAATAAATAAATGCCTGTATATTTGTCTTTATAGGACAAAAAAAAAAGTTGGAGACAGGAGCGGGGTAAATTTCAGTGATGGGAAAAAAATTAACATGAGAAGGGGTCCTTTCCTCCCCTCCCCCAATCCTTTATCAGTCCTTACGTTCAAACTGTGGCCTCAGCAGCTGAATTCATGAATTTGCCTCATATTGCATCTCAGACCATTGATCTATCGTACCCGTTATTAACTCTCCAGGATCTCCTACTACTGGAGGTCCTACAGATTGAACCTGGGACGATGGCCCCATCAAGAAATGAACTGCAGGACTTACATGTAATATGCGATTCTGTTCTTAGGCTTTGCATAGATGATCATTTTGGCTTTGTTGTAGCAGCAGCCATCGCTGATAACTGTTCAGCCACAACGAACGGAATACGAAATCTCAAATCAGTAAGGTCTTTTTCCCTAATACACCTCAATAGATTTGTGAGGTGATCTCAAAAGAGAGATAGGGTTTACTTAATGTCACTAAGGGACACTTATTAATATACAATATTCCTAAAATACTAGACCACAGAAGGCACATCTATATATATAAAAGAAAGTCTCCTCACCATAAAATCAACACCCAGGCCAAACCGCTGGACCTAGAGAGATCAAATGCAGGGAGAGCGCTCCTACCATAGCGTAGGTGCTCACTAAGAAGAGATTTATAGAAATTTGACCCCTAAGTAGGTCAAAAGGGGGAAAATGTGCTCCCCCCCATTGATTCCTATACGGCTGCCAGGCAGCTGCTTCCCTACCCCCCCCACTCTGATTGGTCAGCTGCAGAGCTCAGTGTTCTGGGGTTAAAAAACCCCAACAGTTACAGGAGACTGCAGCGAGCTAATGACAGCGAGCTAATGACAGTTGAGGAAATCAGGAGTAGCCAAGAACCACCTGTGAGGTGAAGCAAAGCTGCTGGCCCAGCCTCTCTGATGACTTCCCCCACCTCCTACACTTAACAGGTGGTTGTCTGTCAGGTGCAGTCCACCTTCACAGTGACTTCTAATACTCCTCCCCCTCCTACACCAAACAGCTGCCTGTCAGGTGTAGGAGAGGAGGTGGGATGACTTCCAACATACTCCCCCCACCTCCTACACCTAACAGGCAGTTGTCTGTCAGGTGCAGCCCCATCACCTCAGTGGCTTCTAATACTCCTCCCCCTCCTACACTGGATAGGCAGCTGCCTGTCAGGTGTAGGAGAGGAGGTGGGATGGTTTCCAACACACTCTCCCCATCTCCTACACCTAACAAGCGGTTGTCTTGTCAGGTGCAGCAGCGGTTGCAGGGTGCTTAAAGCCACAAGGGAGCCTGCCCCAGCAGTAATGCCTTAGTGATCCTGCCCGCCCTGCCTCCACAGTGGCTTCTAATACTCCTCCTCCCTCCCCATACTACACTGGACTGTCAGGTGTAGGAGAGGAGGTAGAATGCTTACAGCTGCCAGGGAGGTTTGCTTAGCAGGATTGCCTTAACACGACTGCTGGCCCAGCCTCCCCGATGCCTTTAAATACAATCCCTCCCAACACTAGATAGGCCGGTATGTGTCAGGTGTAGGAGCAGGGCCAGGGGATGAATGTTTATGGGGAGGCAGTAAAGGATATTTCTAGGAGCCATTTCGATGTGTGCCTCCCTCATGAACCTGAAGAAATGTCCACCACATCACCACTCCCTCACACCAACTCCCCCTCACCTCTTACTGCCCCCAAGAAAGCTCCTGGCAAACGTTGAGCCAGATACACCAATGCTACAAGGAGGAGGCAACTTAGGAATGCAGCAAAGACATTTGCACATAGTACTCCTGCAGTGTACTGAGCTGCACAGGCCAAGTACCAGCAAGATCACCCTGAGGTGCTCAGAATAACACAGTCTCCATATAAGCAAAACAATTCAGGAACACAAGTAGGCCATCACTTTCATGGAAGGTAGCAGGAGTTGACTTAACAGACGACTGCTTCTTAAATGGACAGTTCTATGTGGCCTGCTCCAGAGTGAGCTCACCAAGCAGCCCAGTGATCCTAGCACCTGAGGGCAGAACCACCAATATGGTCTAGAGAGAGGTCCTTCAGGAGAGAGAGAAAAGGTATGTATGTCTCACTTCATTTTTTCACTACAATTTTCTCTATTAGAATCCCTACAACAAATGTTACATTTCAGACTTCACATCATCAGTATTATTACTGGATTTACGGAACTTAAATACCATAATGAAGCACGAGTATCAGGCTAGTCTTTCATACAAGAAACAGATGTGTTCTTAAAATCACATTTTAAAAAATTGGTAGGACACTGCTGGTGGCCCTGCACTAATTTCTCTAAGAAGGCTTCAGATATATACAGATCCACATTGACGATTATGTACACAACCTTCAGAAAGGGCAATGGCTAACACACAGGAAAAGGAAAACTTAAATCCAATCTAACACAGCTTAGAAACAATTTGAAGGCATGTTCTGCAGTGTTGATGTTAAAAAACAATTGCATGTTTATTCCATCATTGCATTAGTTCACTCTTGTCTTGCTGAGCTATTTAGGCTTGTAGGAGGGTTGATACATCTTTGTCACTCATGATGGACGGGCTAGAATTCTTTTGTGATGGTTAGGTGACATTTGCAGTTTTTTCTAGATAGAATATCCATATCAGTGCAAGCCACATTGTATTCTGTCAGGTTTCATTGGATTACTTTGCGTTGCTAAGAAGATGTAGAATTTGGATTCAGAAATATTCAGAAGCACTGAATAAATGCTGTAGTTGGAATAGTCACAAATACTTTGGAATCCAAGTTTTATATTTCTGAATATTCAGGATAATTCCTAATATCCGGAGTCCCGTTGACTTATAGAAGGCAGGCAAAGCTGCTTGCAAGATGAGGAAAATGACAGCTGTTCCTCAGATAACTTGGTCTGGACTCTAGAAAGGAAACTGAAAAATTCCCCAAACAGCCTGGCATCGAGTGTTGCAGGGGGCAGAGAGCTCAGTGTCCCCTGATGGGTGTTGTCATGGTCTTCCCACTGGAAGGGGGGAAGGAGTGAGAGCACAGCCTGTGCGTGATGTCTGTCTACACTTAAGAAATCCTGAAACAGGCACACACCAGAAGATAAATTCACATTGGTCCTTTCTAACTGAAAGATGAGCAGAGCTGCTTATATAAATTCCCTAACGATTTGCTCTGCCTGTTGAAAGAGTCTCCTCTGTGCCCCTTTCAGCATTTGATTCCCTCTCTGCCCCTTAGTGTATATTAGGAATATAATACATTCATTAGATTGTAGATTAGTAGGGAAGTTTTATATTGTCTAGGTCCTTTTGGGGGTATATCAGGCATAAGGATAAGGTGTTAGAAAGAGATCATAGATTATATGTGGGTATGGTTTTCATTATTATTATAGTCTGTGTTCTGCTGCAGCAGGATCGGATAGTGTTGTGAGGGAGAGTCTGCAAGCAGTATGAAATGTGGGCATGACCAAGGAAGTTGGAGCATGAGAAAGGCTGCCGGAATATTGCTTGGCTTCCCTGATGTGTCCTTTGAATAAGAGAAAATGGCACACTTCAGTTCATCGTATGTCATGCTTCAGTCTGCTGCTTCCTCCAATTGCTACTCCAGGACGCTGCTTGCTCACTCAGCTGTGGTGTGACCTGTGCTGTTG